TAGCCCTTGTTATTGTTGTGAAATTTTTTGCTTCTTAAAAGCACAGTGGTCCAAACGGTCCAATCAGACCTCCAAAGGAGTTTTATATATATATATTATATATATATAACATGTATAGAATCAAATTTTTATTTATATATATATTTGAACTACCTTATGTATTATTATATTTTATATTATATAAAAGAAAAACTTTCAGTAAAATGCCTATTTAGACGTAATATTTTATGTTTTACTTTATATTTTATGATATGCTTAAATTTGAATGTACAGTTTAAATAAATATGTGTATTTACACAGGTCTAACCATAAGTAAGGGAGAGATCATCCCTCGAGCGTCGTCAGAGAACAGATTAAATGACATGAGAAATACACAAGGTGAAGCTGAAAAATATAGCCGTTCAAGGAACAAATCTCGGGATTCCATTATTCTAGCAGGTAGTTTAGCCAGTCAGCGATGTAGCTCATTATCCGACTTGTGCAATACTGCTCAGGAAAGCTATAATGCCACATATGATAATAAGCAGCCTCAATCAATGGATACATTGGATTCGACATCATATTTGTCGATCAAACCTGATTTAAACAAATGTATAAATTTGTTCCATAATGAACACCTGATTAAAGAATATGATACTCTTGAAAAACAATTAAATACCACATTACCTGAAACAAGTGCAAATATCAATATTCGTCATTTAAGTAATATGGCCGAGGAACAACAGAGTTTTAATAAACGCCAACGTTCTGTGTCAATAGATTCATTAGAAAATACAGTCTTACTCGGTCAAGAACTTACAAGGTCTAAGAGCTACACTACGTTCGATAGAATTTTGAATAGAGATACCAATCATAATATTAAAGCTGACCAGCTTTCTTCTAAGATTGTAACAAGTTGCAGTGAGAATGTTGAAAAAATTATTCCGTCCTTTAATGCATTGAAATTGTCACAGTCTTCTGCTTTACCAAGAAGGAAAGATGATTCGTACCTTGCGGAAGATGAGCGGCACGATTCAACAAGCAGCGAAACGAGCTCCAAAGAAGAACTTGATCCTTTGGAATTAAGAACGTTCCTACATTCGTTGGCGGATGAAAAACCATTGAAAGAAGCAACTGTGCAACAGCGTCTTCTGAGACGTTTATCCGCAAATTGCTATGATTCACCAAAAGGCTTTACAGAAGGATTGCTAACTATAATTGAAGAGTCCATTATAAACGATTCCTTACAATATCCAGAAGTCAGCGTATACAGATTCAACGAAGAGCTTCGAAGAATGTGTAAATTTATAGAGGATGAAACCATTCCCGAATGGCCTCAGTCTCCTGGTATGTCGACATCAATTTATGCAAGAAGAAAAAGTCAAGAATGTAAATCTAATGTTTCATGGAAATCTCTTTTTCCTGGAACTCCTCTAAATAATAATAAAACTCTATGTTCAACACCTATTTCTCCCCGACGTAATATTAGAAGCCCCAAGAAAATATGTCGGCGTAAATCAAAAAATACTTCTACTTTGTTGCTTGATAGCACAAATAACTTTGAACATCTAGAAGCGTATTGTGAGACTTTATATCCGGAAGAATCCAGGAGTCTCTCGGGAAGGAAAGACAGTCAATCACAGTCTTCCTCGCGAAGCATGGAAGATATTCGACGAGCGTATGAAAGTCAAATGGCTTCTTTGGAGGATTCCTTCAATATTCAGGAAGAGATAAGAAAAGCTGGGACATGCACCTCGGTAAATCAACACCTAAATAAAACACCTAAAACGCAAAATTTGCAACACAGATTGGTATCAAATGAAAAGTACGATAAAACGAAATCGAAGAAAGATACATTTAACCAGCGAACACAACGTAGTAAGCATCGTGAAATAATCGAACTTGAAAGTTCGCTCATGTATGAGATTGCGAAGGAAAGACAAAGGTGCATTGACACGGCAAAAATAATGGAAATTAATGAAAATTCAGAATCAGTAGAAGATATACATCCGAAAATTGTAATCAGCAAATCCTCGCCAACTACAAACGATGATAAATTCAAGAAAATTCTAATGTGTGTCAAGAAATATCAAGATTACTTGGAAGAGCGCAGACCTATACTCAATTTACTTCACGGAGCAAAATTGAATAGTCCTCGTACTCCTCGTGACGGAAAAGACATTCGAGCTAAGAAGAGTAAGAAGATGTCCAACGAAAATCTCGATTCTTGTTCGTCGATTTTATTAGGGAATAAGTCATTAAGGACGCCGAAGCGTTCGCCAGGAAAGAAAAGTATAAGTCCTTCGTCGGCGAAACATCGACCTACCAAAACATTTGTTTCAAAACCACGGCTTTTTATGACCCCTGGAAAGACGCCTGTTAAGGGCTGCAGACCAAAGCGCCAGTATTTTCCAACTTTGCTGCCGAACTTAAATAAGCAAGACGAGTCGACAATGAAAAAAATTTATCGTCAGATGGAAAATTATGATCATGTAGTATCCCCTGTTGGCATGTACATCAAGGGCAAGAAACCCTATCTGAAGAAAAATCTACAGTCTAAAACGGACGAAGAAGTATTTACATCTGAAAGAAAGCAGACTCAATCGCCCAGTCCAAGAATTATGAAGTTTCGACCATCTCCAAGACAAACAGAGGTAAGCAAAATAAATAAAGATATTTAAATCGGCATTAATAAAGATATACACATACTTTGCAAAATCTTCTGCAATATATTAATTTACTTTGTTTTATATTATTTCAGAAGGTGACTGGAACAACAATAGGAGACGAAAAGGTTGCTGGTAACTTTTTGCATTCAAAAGTGCAAACTTCTATCTCATGTAGTAATTTGTGTACATGAGATGGGAGTTTGCACTTTTGAATGTATTCCAAAATTTAATCTGATAACTTTAAAATAATATACATATTTGTAACGACTTAAAAATCTTCTTTAGATAATGGAAGCAAAAACGAAAAATGGGAAATCGTATACTTAAATGAATTACTGCGCTAACATAAGGTAAAGTCGTGATCCAACACGAAAGTATTGTAAAATTGAATTGCAAGCTATGAATTATACATATATATATATATATATGCTTTTTCTTAAATTGTATTTACATTTAATTTGTAGTTTAAATTTAATTCAAATTAAAAAAAAGATATATATACATATTTATGACATTAATATTTACATATTTTAAAATTTTTTCCGATTTAAATGTGTATATATATTTTTAATGAATTACACTTAAATTACAAATTAAATTTAAATATAATTTAAGAAAAAAGTTTTAAGACTCTAAAGTTTTAAGAACAAATATATATAATTTAAATTTTGCATTATATTATTTCAGGTCGTACGCAATCAGTCCAGATCACTTGGAATAACGAAGTCCAGATCACTTGGAATAACGAAATTCATTACGATTTCGCAGAAAAGTCCGTGCACATTGAATAGATAATGCGCAAAACATTCTCACGTACAAAAAAAATTGTGTGACAATCTATGTTTCATACACGTTTCATAAAATTTTTCTAAATATTTTTATATATTATAGTTTTATTAAAAGTGCAATTGAAATTATTTTTTTGTGTCAAGTATTATTTCACATTTTTGTGTCGTAACACTGTATTTTGCTACGCATTTTATTGCCATTTTGGTCCGCAAGTTTAAGCAGTCTTTTTGTTCATCATAGTTTGGAGATGAGTGTGATCGATGTAGTTGGATGTAGCGTAAGTCTTACACTCTAAAATGAGATGTATCTCCGACAGTATCATGTGTGCAAATACTTTCTGCGAGTCGCTATTGTGATTCCAATAGCATATGTGTCTAATTCGACTCTTTGTGGTGTCGTCGATCGGCCGATGAGTATATTTCCAGAATTTGTTTATAAACTTAAGTCGGCGCGGCCAAGCGCTCGCGAGAGAGAGCGTTTGCCCGCGCGCGGCTAATTAGTGTAGTGTTGCCATCTTGTTAGGGGCAACTCTATAATTCGATTTCCTACTTCCTATCGAAGATAGCAGGAAAATTAAATCTATTACTCGAACCTGTTTCTTGAAAAATAGCATGCAGTAAAATAGGTACACAACAAAGAAAAGTGACGTCAATTCAAAAGTCTACACATTCTCGTTCTTATCTAATAGGTAAATGTGCCGACCTAGTTCTTAAGTTTTGCCATCCTAATATTAACATTTATATTGAGTATTATTGCAGTTGGGAAAGAAGTTTGTGACGTATACATACGTTGTATACATTGCTACACGTTGAATGTAAAATAGGAGCGAGAAGAAAACACGGAGAGCTTTTTAATGGAAATTGCTTCGAATAAACATCGACAAGAACGATTTTACGAGAGACGTCATAAAATCTGCTGTGGAAAAATGGAGTAAATATGGTAAAAAGCCGGATGGAAAGGTTTCAAAGAGCGGCGATCATCAAATACGTGGTTCTCACAATCTAGAATGCTGTGGAAGGTCCTCTCTTCCTCTCTTATCGATACGACACGTAAGGCACAACAATACTGCGTCGTTTCTTGCAATTCTCGTGATTGGTTTTCTACCGACAATACAACAGGGCCGTCGATCTTGGACATTTTAATATGAATCGGGGGCTTACGTCGTGCGAGTTATGTCGCGTGGTTTACGGAGGAAGGGCACGGAAACGCCCTGATTATCGGTTATCTGAGTTTAATGCTTTGGCGGTTTCCAGGTGATTTATTTATACCAGAGGGTGGTTGCTTGAGGGAGAGTTCTTCAGCCCACGCAAGCCCAGCATAATCCTGATGGCCGGCACCGGGGTATACGTTAAGTATTTTTCTCATACGCAAAAAAAGACCGATCTTGAGTCAATAATACCTTCGAGATCTATGCCAATATCGCGGCACTTAATTTTTAATTAGGCAATCAGGAAGCAGAACATATTGTACGAGGACACTTATTATTGACATGATTTGAGTGTCCTTCATATGCCGGACTTGAGTAAAACTTTTTTGATCTTACGTAACATTCCACTTCCTGATAGACAGTAGATGTCGGTCAATCACCACGAAAATGTATAAAAATTTGTAAATATTGTTCGTTAAATTATTGCAGAGCTATTTTTTGTGCCAGTAATATTTATGTATACCTTCTTTTATTAAATATCTTTACTCGTTTATGTATTAAATATTTAGTTTTTCAGTGGAAAATAATATTCAATTTATAACTGTGTAAGATCAAATTCTTTAGAGATAATATGATACAAAAGTTAAAATGTCCAAAGTTAGTATATATTATCATTCATTCTAATGATTGAGTTTATTTAAAAATTCCCTATTTTCATTTTTAAATTTATATATAAATCTATAGGTACCTACTAGGTCGGTGTCGTATAATGCTAACATTTTGAAGTTTTATGATTTTATGATTATCAAGCTCGTATTTGTACACAACGATAAGAACGAATACGATTAAAAATATATTAAGACAAAAATTATATCAAACTTAAATGCGCACATTGATTCGAATTAAATATCTACAGGAACGTCGCAGTACCATAGGGATCGAATAGAGATAACGTGATAACGCCGCTTCCTACGTCATCCTATTAGTCGACAACCTGTTAGAAAAACTCGTGTCACTGGAATCGCACGGCCCTGAAGAATTGCGCATAGCACACATGTTGACGATTGCACACGCTGCGCGGTTGCGCTTGTCAAGCCGCTCGGAACCAAGCCCGGCCGTGGTGGGGAAGGATCGATAAATACGAAGCCGCGACGTTCTACTGGCGAGTAAGCATTCCGCTGCATTATCTCTTCGAGCCTCTACCGTGAAGCGACAAGCCAAAGCCAACCAAAATGCCGGGACCAGGATGCGATAAATGCAAGGGTGAGTGTGCCTCTTAAATGCTTAATGAACATTAATAGAGAGTTTGACATGACGTTTCCTCAATTGTTACTGTTGCTCTATAGAGGAGCTATTGAGAAACAATGAGATATATGTATAAGCAAGAAATAGATCTGTGATCTTTAAAGAGACGTCACGCGATTGATTTCTAATTATCATTGATTCGGCAGTGCATGGTCAAAGGGCAATTGATCAGTTACTGAATTATTGAAATATTTTGTTGAAACATACGCGATTTTTAATAAATATATATTTATTTATATTATCTATAGAATTGTATCCTAATATGTATTTCTAAATTCTAATCTCTCTTTAAGTAAATCTCGAAAATAATTTTTTTAAATTTATTTTATTACAGACAAATGCCAGGACTGCAAATGCGGTGACAATTGTTCGTGCTGCGATTCCGGATGCAAGGGTAATCATATCAAGAATTAATAATGCATTTTGCTCCGACTGTGCAATTCGCTGCTTGCTCGTCGCGCTTCTAACGAGTTATTATTTTTAATTACAACCAGTTGTGTGAGCTGTCAAACTCGTTTTCACAATGCCGCGTTGGAATGTCTCTTTTTCCAAACAATCGACGAGCAAAAACGCGTGTCGACTAACTGTATTATTTTTTGTTTTTCATTCCGGACAATGACCGGTTAATGACGGCCATCGCCGATACCGGCTCGTCATATCCTTTAACTGTACATCGCAATTCCACGAGACTTGTGGCACAATTTCGTTGTGTGGTGCAATTGCGCGTAATATGTTATTTAAAGCTTCTACGCCGCGTTGTCTCGATCATTACACGTAATGAAATGAGTCATGAAATGATTTCTTGGAGCACTGCATTCCTTTTTCGTTTAAGCTTTTTGCTTGTGTCGTATGCTTCGTGTTTTTTTCTTCGCCGAATTTATTTTCACAATTTTTTATTTTATATTTAATTTATTTATTTTATATTAGCAAAAAACAATACTTCTATATTTTAAAGCGAGAAGTGAAAAGAGTAGCCAACACTTAATTTTTCAAGAGTTATTTAAAGTAATTTTGTTTTTAAGTTTTATCGTGAATATCTGCTTTTATCTTTTTTATAGAAAGATCACATCTTCTTTATGATAAATAAATTATTTTCTTTTTTTACAGACCAATGTGCCTGCAAATCGGGTGGAAAGTGCTCATGCAAGCCTTGCACCTGTTAATTAATAACCATGCCAAGGACAATCGACGATGGGAGTGATAATAAATCCCTAATGCGCTCGAGTAAATCCAATATATAGGCAAAATTCGAAATACATCACTATCCATGTAAAATTTCACGCTTAGTAAATGTTATAGATGCGATGCAGAGCTTTTGCGTTTTTAAACAGTTAATAAATTAATAAAATGTATTTTAAGTACATTTTATTTTACCTTTCACACTTTTTCCACTCTTTCATGCTGTAATATAGTAATGAATAAAGTTTTTTATCTAACATTATCTTATCTGAAAGTAATATAAAAACTATCAATTAATTTCACCGTTTAGAATTTAAGCAGAAAATGAAAAAGTAATATGCATTCTGACTTTAATTTTTAGAAATTCGGAGGTCAATCTTTTACAATTAGATTCAATTTTTGCACTCAAGAGCCTTACTTTGTTATTGTTATGTATTAAAGATTCTAAGTTTAAGATTGAGAAAGCCGTCATATAATCCGATTTAATGATTAATACATCTAATCTTAGTAGTCTCTTTTAGTGATAACTTGCGAGATAATGCTTATCACTACAATTTTAATGAAGATGCAATCACAAACATACGAGGTCTCAAATATATTCCAACTGTTAACATATCTTTAAGATCAACCTTTAAATTGTACTTCTATTAAATAAGATCCATTAAAATAGGATTTATTAAAGCCGTCTAGAATATAATTTTCTCATTTATTTCTTTTTCGACTTTTATTTCTACGTTAAATAATTTCTACAATTAGAGTCTGCTATTTCGAGCAAGTTTCAATGTTTTAATATAATTTGCAATATCAGGAACAATTCTATGTATCAGGCAAATTATCGCAATTAATTCGTTACTTTAATCTGTTGATTAAAACATTTGTATTTTATTTCTTTATAACAGCATTTTAATAAAGATAATTGTTTTGCACCTATTTGCACTCGCCGTGTTCGTTCTCTCTCCTTTCCTCCAAAGATCAAGCGTCCATGCATCCCACATTAAGTGCAGCGAGTACATATGGAGCACGCTCGATCGCCGCGACGTGATTGGTTCCCCCCGATTTGAAATTTCGGAGGATCGCAATTGCGCGCCGAACCAGTAGTTCTAGAAACGTGTCGGTACGGTGTAGACGTATATCCGAGTGGCTCCGTGTATCTCTCGCTATCGTTGCCGTTATTTGCGAGAGATATTTGTGCGTGATTAAAGTGTATGTGTGTACGTGATCGGAATGCAGTGCGTGTTACGAATATCGGAATATGTGAATCGTGTGTCTTGTGTGGTGTGTGGTGCATGGAGTACCGGGCGATCCGGCCTCTGCAGATCTACCGGAGTTCACGGAGTGCCGAGGAAACGTCGTCTTCGCTTGTTTTGGATATTTTCCCGGAAATGCTGCCAGGCTACGACACGCGCGAGTTCGTCGCCAGGTATTTACCACATACAGATAATCATGGGATTAATATCGGTGCGATTTTCGAGTTCGGTTTCTGAACGCGACGTGGAATACAGCATACTCCGTTAACTCGCGAGTAACTATATAACGATGCGGTGGCGAATTTTGACATACCGAGGCCTTCGGGTGTCGATTATCGTCGATTCGATGGAAAATCCGCTGCGGAATATTGTTTTCTGACCGATAACGCGACAGATTCGTTAAGTGTAATCCGCGCAACCGTAGCGTCACTTGCTCCGTAATGTTACTGTTTTGTGCAATGTCGCGAGGGAGCGGTAGTTTCATTAGACGTACCTCGCGCGATCGTAGTACCATCGCACCCTACGAATTTTCTCGAAACGGAGCACCGATATCGATCCTCGAATTATAGATGCATGCACGTATGGTAAATAGTATTCCTATGGTAATGGTAGTTCGTTACTTGATCGTCGCGCGTCGGTAACTACAGTAATTAATCCACGGGGGATAATTACGATTTCGTTCTGCAATTCGGTCGGTACCTGACCGAAAGTTAGATGTAAGTGTTCATTTTCCCTTCTTTTCCTCCTTCCAAAATATATTATATCTTTCCAGGATTATAAATATTGTACAAATTAATGCTTAGATAACAAGATCTTTTTTCAATATGTTACAAGATATGTTATAAGTAAAGAGATAGACAAGAAATGTCTCAATCAGGTAATGCACCCAAAAATACATTTAACAAAAAAAAAATACAATAATGATAATAATTTATTTTTATAAGGCATGTTTTATTCTAGTTTTTCATAGCACATCCACCCTTATTTATTAATAATGTAACTTTACGTAATCTAAAATGTATTAATATTATCTATACGTTTCTAATTTCATTATGAAACAATGGAATTATTTATATAAAATGTCATCCAATATTTATTCACGCGCGCGATTTATATTGATCAATATATTATTTAAAGAAAGAAAAAGATTATATTAAGAAATAATTGGTGCTCGAAAAACTAGTTATTTGCACAAATTGCTAATAATACTACGTAGTACTAATAATACTACGTAGTACTAATAATACTACGTAGAATAGAAAATATAGCAGATTAATTCACGAAAAGAATTAAATGACGAGATTACGCGTTTGTGTGAAAAGACGGGGCAGAAACTGAGGGATGCCGTGTCTTGTTTTATTTTGCCGCCTAATAGAAATAACATCTGTCTGCAAGCGCGGTACTGCACACAGTAATTTCACATACGATCGGTAACATGTATTGTTCGGTTCGTTTCCACGTAACAAAAACGCCGATACTCCGGCACGAACTTCTGTGCACTCTCTCGCAACGTGAGATCATTCATCTAACTGACTGAATGAAAAATGTATATAGTTTGCGGTGCGCAACGCGCGAGTCTATAGAGGCCGTGAATGAAAAGTCTACGCTTAAAGTGCCAATAACTCTGCATCCCTATGCGCTTCCGTCTGCGCTTATCGAACGTTAAAATAACCACCTGTCCGCCGTCGATGCAGCCCCACAAAGTAGCTCGTTCCGAATCGAAACGTCAAGTACCGAAGTATCGATACTCTAATAACGCGATATAATATATAATATATAGTATAATATAAGAATAACAATATACAGGTCAGTAATAAAATATATTTAACGTGTTCTCGGACTTGATTATTATTTTAAATCAATATATAACTTTTATCTTTTTTTTTTTCATACGTTCTTCTCCACACGGAAAAGATTAGCTATTGCCTCGATAAGCCTGAGGTGTGCATCGATAAGATCAAAATAGCGAGTGTACGCGAATATACTCGTCCGTGCGCTCACGTCCGTTTGCCCTTCCCTCTCATCGCCATTCACTCGTAAAAATCTCTCCGCGCCTTTCTGAATTCCGAGTGCTTTCTTGCTCCGAGCAAGGCATCCCTTCGCTCGCGTTCCTTCACTTTCCGCCCCATCATTTCGCGAGCCGAACGGCGCGGGCGGCAGCGGCGCGTGATTTAAGCGGGCGTAAAAACGGCCGTTAAAAAACAAGAAAAGTCCTTAACTCCTACTTTGATTGGCCAACTCGGTTTATTAAAACGTCTCGCGCGCGACACCGGCCGCTCTTTCTTTTCTCTCCTTACTTTTTCCTATACGGCCTCTCGTTTTCGCGACGTTAACTTCCCGAATATCCGCTCTCCGAGAGACCGTATTATTTAGTTGCTCTCTTCCGCGCCGCGCCGGCCTGCCCTTTTCTTCGTCGAGCTTCGAGTTTTACTGCTCCTTCGGAGCGGACGGCCCTAGCGATACCATAGGGCATATTCGACCCTTTCGTTAATGACACTTCTCGAGACTGCGGACGCGAATTTATCTTTGCGAGCTCGTTGACGGCCGTATTAAGCGACCGTCACGAGTGGCCAAAACAATGTGGCAAAAGTGGCGTGGTGAGTAGTTTCGATTGGCTCTGAGTGACGTGTAAATGACACAAGACGATTTGTTTCGTATAATATCAAGTCGTACAAAAATGAGGGGTTGTGCAGTAATATTACCAAATAGTAAAAGAAATGCGTGAACTTACGAAACAAGACATTTTTTTCTGCAGATGTGTGTGAGAATTTATCTTTTAATATCTACTTTATAATTAACAACGACGAAAAAGTAAAACCATTTTATTTAGGTTATCACCGTGGCTTAGTAATTTCTCTAACATTTCTCAGGTTTAAGTTTAAACGGGATTAGCATATCTCTCCGTATCCCTCAAGAACACGCGACATTTCAGCTTATATTTAAGTCTCGGTTACTATTTACGTGTAAGATTTAATCTCGGCCCGTGTGTCGCATAGAATTCCGTGATTATTCATCGCATTCCGCGATTATACACACTCACAGTTGTATAGCGTATATTTTTTTTTTATTTTAATGAGAGTAATCTGGCGATTATCTTGACCGCGTAATCGTATAAGCGAAAGTCGCGTTTCACAGAAAATATTCTTACCCTCGCATCCGTCACCCCCTCTCCCTCTCACCCTCTCTTTTCTCTTTGCTTTCTCTCTCTCTGCCTCCCTCCCCCCCATCGTGTCTCTCTTCTGTAATATTAATTAATAAGGCAACTTCCGTCGGACGAGATACTTGCTGCTAATTAAGAAATACCTACCGCGCGCTCTTTTCCAGCGCCGCGCGCCGGGGCGAGGAGGTGGAAAAATAAGAGGTAGAAATTCCACGCTGCTCTGGCACCCTTGAAACGAGGTAAACTTAATCCTCAGCCAAGTTAAACCAACTGCTAAGCTTTTCATTATGCCAAGAGCGAGCGAAGAGGGGAAGGGATGAGCGGAACTCGGTTGTGGGGCACCGCGCTTTTCGTTAATGCCGGAAAACCCGCAGCGCTATCGCGTTTTTGCAATCAGGAAACGCAATTTTACACGCGTATTTCTTAAGGTCGACGGCATACATACCTACGCGAGATCGATGTTCTTATCGTAACAGGATTCTTGCTTGCGAGTAGTACTGAAAATTATCTGAAGAGATTGACATAATTATATCCGTAATTCGTGAACAGGATGCGAATGTTTTTACAATAAATAAAATTAATGAACTGGATAATAAGTAAACAATAATGTAAGAAAGTAAATGTAACAAATGAAAATCGATCGGATCAATTCTCACGGCAATCGAGAAAGCGATATCGTCGTTTCGTTTCCGCGTGAGATTTCCCGCGAGCGAGATTACGAGAGGCGCGCTTAGGGTTACTCGCCTAAGGACCGGCATAATTCCGCGCGGCGGAACAGTTCCTAGGAAGCTTGATGTGTCCCAGGAGTGCCCTCGCCGAGTGTTTTTCCGTGATGAGGGCGGAAGGATCGGCGATGCCGGGAAAAGGAAGCAAACGGAGCTTCGAATTCGCGCGCGACGGGCGCGAAAGGCGACGAAAAGTTTTACGAGCGTGCCAGGCGGCACCGGCGGCTGGACTGGTTTGAATTGCATCAATTAAAAAAAGCCGTTCCGCAAAAATTCCATAACGTCGCGTCGCATCGGGGTCGGTGGAGGGTGGCGAGGGAAACGCCCGCCGCGTCAAATGTCCGAGCTTTCGCCGCTTTTCCGCGTTTCCGCGCCGCGCCGGTAAAGCCCTTTTATATTCGTATACGCGCCCCGTTCTGTCGCACCGATAACGACCGAGCCTGCCACGACTTAGGCATCAGTCGTAATTAATCCGCATATTTCCCGGCCATTATTAATTGACGCGGGGCCTGTTAAATAAATTTTACCGCAAAAATGCCAAATAAATTTCGCTTCGCGCAGCAGCGAAATTCACATGTGGAAGTGAACGCTATATACGTGCATGCATAAGGAAATACGTCGACGATAAATCGATCGAATAGCCGTCACACGGGGTGTATGTTCGAGGAATTTATTAGTAGATTTCCAGTAAGGATTCCTCGATTCCTGTCGCTTTTGTACAGTTTCCGGACAGAGGAGGCAGGTGCGATGGTCGCTCATGCGTCTCTCAGTCGATACTTATTGTTCGCCGGCTATAAAGAGGCGAATAACGTAACAACGATACACGCGCGCGCGAAAGTATGCATACGTAAGCGGAAGTCAAAGCATCCGAACTATCTTTTCATTTTGCTTTGTTCCGCGCGGGGCGCGGATATATACGTATGAAAATATGTGAAAAGGGTCGTCTATCTTGCGCGAGGGTGGGCGAGAGCGAGAGGGAAATGTCGTCAGTCGGACAAACAATTTCCCTGCGACTGTCGTCATGCTCGTACGTAACAGAAAGGGGTGGATTTAAAAAGGACGCCGAGAGAATCGCCGGAGCCACGACTAGATGCGATGTTCTGCGAGTCTGCGATAAGCGACAACGACGACGATACGCGCGGTTAACACCGGCACATTTTGAAACAAGAAGGATTATTGTGTTTATTATAACATAACGCTTTCCTTCTGTCATAATGTTGTTCGAAATATTTTATTTTTACATTGACGGAAACAGGAGTTGAACTCCGAATATCAAAATTTCGAGCTA